ATCATTTTCTAGATATAAAAAAAAAATCTATGTTTTGAAGGAACAAATGACCAAAACAAAAATCTGTTATGTGATTATAAATCACACAATTATTTAAACACTGCACAATGAACGACTTTGTTTACAGAGGACACCGGTTATACAAAGGAAAAATGGGAGATAAAAGGATTTATAATATCTGAAACTATGTGAGAACCGTTGTTCAGTGCTTTAAAATGTGAATATGCTGGAGGGCCAAAACAGGGCAAACCACTATCATGTGTTCTGGAGCTGCTGCAGTTATTATTGGGAGATTTTTAAAAAGAATATGTATAAGAATATGACAAAGTAATAAAGAAACAACTCAGTTTTGCATAAGATACATGCATTTTCAATCGATTTAAATAGCTATCACAAAAAAATGGTTATTAATGGAACTCCTAACAGCTGATGACTGGATTAATGAGATTTATAATCAGCTTAATGGTGGGGAAAGTAAAATATGTTTTGAGATTTAAATATGAAAAGCTTAAACGCAGAGGGAACTCTAGGGCTGAATGTTTCATTTCTTAGCTCTGATTTCATCACTTAAATATATAGCTCTGTTCTACATTTGTTTTTTAATAGGATACCTTACATATTTAAAGAAGAGAGTAAAAAGTTTTTTTTTTTTTTTGCTTTTCTCTAACATTTTTTCAAATTGAGAACTATGCATTTGTGAAATGTCAGTTGTTCCACACAAACGACTTTAATCTCAGAATTCAGACTTTTATCTCAGAATTTTGACTTTTTTCTCAGAATTCTGACTTTAATCTCTGAGATTAGATTAAAGACTCATTAATCCAGTCATCAGCTGTTAGGAGTTGCATTAATAACCATTTCTTGTGACAGATATTTAACTTGACTGAAAATATTCGTTATGACTTTGTCATATTCTTATACATATTCTTTTTAAAAATCTCCCAATAATAACTGCAGCAGCTCCAGAACACATGATAGTGGTTTGCCCTGTTTTGGCCACATTCCCTCCAGCATACGCACATTTTGAAGCAATGAACAAAGGTTCTCACATAGTTTCAGATATCATAAATGTTTTTATCTCAAATTTTTCCTTTGCATAACCCGTGTCCCTTTGTAAAAAAAAAAAAAAAAAAAAAAAAAAAAAAAAAAAAAATTTTAAAATCAGTTAACCTTTTTTTTTTTTTTTTTTTCCAGTGGCCCTAATCCTCTTCCGTACACAGCTGTTACACTAGCAGAGAAAAAAAAGAATCTAAGGACAAAAATAAACCTGTTTCTTCCCTCCACCAGCTGACCGTGACTTCTGCTTTGGGTTCCGGGGTTGGCGCAGCTGTAGGCTTGGAGGGAGGGCTTAAATGCTGCGTAAAAAGTTTTTGTTTGCCTCGTCAGGACTGGGAGTTTCAACCCTTAACTGCTTTTGAGGGAAATCATGATAACATCCAGCATAGATTTGCTGCTCCTGCTCCCTAAAGTGGTTGGGGGAACCTGCGGGTGTTGGCTGTAAGCGATGGCCCCTGGGAACCAGACAGAGCTGTATTTATCTGAGCAGGTGGTGGTGTTGTTTACCTGCGCTCTGTCCTTCCTGGGCTCCTCTCTGATCATCCTCACACACATTATCTGGTCGGATTTGAGGACCACTCCGCGCAGGCTGCTTGTTTTCCTCTCGGTGACTGACTGGTTGTCTGCTGTCTCCTACGCTTTCGGAGTCTGGAGTGTTTTCCGCACAGACTCTCCTGAATGCATCGCTCAGGGAGCCCTATCCACTTTCGCCAACACCAGCAGTTTCTTCTGGACCGTCTCTATCGCCGTCTACCTCTACGTCTTCATTGTAAGGTCGAGCCAAAGGGTCGCTGACAGCCTGGTGCTGTTCTTCCACCTCTTCAGGTATGTGTGTGTGTGTGTGTGACTGGAACCAGTGGCGGAGCCAGCGGGTTCCATAGGGGTGCCCAGTGCGCACTGAGAAGCTGA